CCGACTCACTAACATGGAAGTGGACACCACCCTGTTTGGTATTCGGAAAATGGTCTTCTCATGGCGGCCACACCATCCACTTCCATGTGTTCGTCGGAGAGTACAACCTGGTGGCAGGATGTGGTTCCACAGATATTACCGATACATCAGCTGTGCGAAGCGCCAAGGCAGAAGCAATGCCAACATGAGCTCCAATATCAAGCAGAACGTCACCCTGCGAAAGCACTGACGCCTTTCCAGGCGCAAAACCATAGCAGTTGGCATTAACCACATCTTTCATCACGCTGACCTCACTCTCAGGCATGAGCAATTCCAACTGATTCGAACCCAGTGAAGGACAGGCACTCCTCACGAGTCTGGGCTCATGCTCGGTGTCCTCAACGATTGGAACCTGGCTATGCTGAAGGTCCTCCAGGACCTTCAAGAAGTTCTTCAGGAACCTAGCTGGCTGAGGCTGGCTGAGTAAAGACAAAGACTCACCAAATCCAAAGCATATCTTTTCTGGATCTGTCCTATTTTGGCCTTCTGGGGTTTGTCAGGTTGACACATGTAAACACTATGTAAAGACCAAACATCAACAACAAGGACGCTTATATTCATTTGCTTCATGGTATGTCTCTGAACAAAGACAATGATGGACAAATAGCCAATGGACGTGATGGCAGCTCCCATGAACTCCGTAGTATCAAAAGAACAACATTCCTAGAACGCAAACAACACGAAACAACTATGTTCATTAAAGAAACATAATCATATCAAAATAACAAAACATATATCAATGAAATAACTTGTTCAACTCACATGAGTGTGGCCAGATGGCCAGGAAAAAAAAAAAACATAAATGATGACCAAAAAATCGGTGTTCGCCTGTCCGCTGGATTTTTACTTTAACATGTTGTGCGCTCCGTCGGTGTGTCGTTTCCAACACCCCCAGTCGACTCCTGGGTGGTGTTGGAAGAAGCCGCGAGGGCCGGACACCAGACCGCGTGAGAGTCGTCGCCCAACCTCCGTGAGACCGGACACCAGACCTCCTTGCTTCGGATGTCATAAAACTTGTCTGATGAGACATACCGACACCGGACAACAAATTGTTGTTTGTCTTCTCATTGTTTTGGACAGCGAGCCGTGCGAGTATGCAGTATGCACGAGTCCGGAACAGACTCGCTCGACTCGTCGATGCTCTCATATTCGCAAATCGTGCTTGCTGAGAAATGATCAGCAATTCCTGAACCTTCAATCGTAGCACTTTTTTCTGGCGAACGAAGGAAATGAGCATTTGTTGGAGTTTCGTCGTGTTTTTTGATGAAACAAGCGCTTTTTAATGTGTTTGATGAAACACTGAAGTCTTCTTGGGCTAAAGGCCGAAACTCGCAAAATGCGCGCAAATTACCGCAAAACGAGCGCAAACTGAAAAGTGGCGAACCACGGCAGCATAGGTTGGATATGAGAGGGATCCATGTGCGTTTTTTGAGTGTTTGTAGCGCTTTTTGCTTGAACGAACACTTGATGCTTGCCCCAATGTAGCTGGACTGCCCGCGGGCACCATTCACGCACGACTTCACAGAAGCACGAACGACTTAACCCCAACGCCAGTATAGAAGGATAATAAAAGAAATTACTTTACTTCGAGTGATCCCCACCATGGCATTTCAATCATTTGTCTTGATGCCATAGTGAAGAGCATGTTGCCATGGTCGTGAGTATTGTAGTTCTCGATTTTGTTTCTGGGTCCTCCGGTTGTGTGCTGTGGTTGTGTGTTGTGGTTGTGGTTGTGTGCTCTGTTGTGGTTGTAGTTGTGTGTGTGTGGTTGTGTGTTTGTGGTTGTGTGTTTGTGATTGTGTGTTTGTGGTTGTGTTTGTGGTTGTGTGTTTGTGGTTGTGTATGTCGTTGTGTGTTTGTTGTTGTGTTTGTTGTTGTCTTCGTGGTTGTGTTTGTGGTTGTGTTTGTTGTTATGTTTGTGGTTGTGTTTATGGTTGTGTGTTTGTAGTTGTATGTTTGTGGTTGTGTGTTTGTGGTTGTGTTTGTAGTTGTGTGTTTGCGGCTGTGTGTTTGTGGTTGTGTTTGTAGTTGTGTGTTTGTGGTTGTGTTAGTGGTTGTGTGCTTGTGGTTGTGGTTGTGGTTGTGTGTTTGTCTTTGTGCTTGTGGTTGTGTGTTTGTGCTTGTGCTTGTGCTTGTGGTTGTGATTGTGTTTGTTGTTGTGTCTGTGGTTGTGTGTTTGTGGTTTGTGGTCGTGTGTTTGTGGTCGTGTTTGTTATTGTGTGTTTGTGGTTGTGTGTTTGTGGTTGTGTGTTTGTGGTTGTGTGTTTGTGGTTGTGTGTTTGTGGTTGTGTGTTTGTGGTTGTGTGTGTTGT